TAACAGTGCGGCGGTCAGAAGAGAACTGGCGGGATGTCTGTGCCTTGCCTCTTTGAGCATGCGCAGTTCGGTTCCTGCGCATGCCTGGGAGGGAGGTGTGAAAATCCCATAGTGAGCTTTGTATACCACCGATTTGGATCCGCACAGACACATAACCCCATGGGTGTAATGTACAGAGACCACGAAGAAGATCCAACTCGGTTTCTCTCCTCTGCCCACACCCCAGCTAGATTTATAACTTGCTCAGTGACACGTGTGCTTTGGCCATTTCCACATGGGCTGTCTGTCCCTGCTTCAATGCTGTTGGGAAATGAGTTTCCCACAGTATCATGGTATATGGTTGCTACTTTCCCTGACCCTGCAGTGGCCATTTACTCCCCCCCCCCCGCCACCCAGGGCTTTTTAAACATTGGCACTGTGATATCTTGTATCTCTGCAATGATACAAAGGGCTAGATACTTTCCTCCCTTCATTTAAAAAAAATGAAAGCTGGGTATTCAGAAAACCTGATATACATGTTGTTGTAATGTTATATTGCTATAATGATATCTAATTGAGCATTTTAACAATGGTGGGGTAAATGGCCACCACAGAGGCAGAGGTCAGGGAAAATGGCTTTCATGTGGTAGGAAAATGTGAACTATTAGGAGAAAGGCATCTGCAAAACAGAGGGGGCTACAGACTTTTAAAAGAAAGCTGGTGTTATGTACTGCGATGGAACCGAACTTGCAACGGACATGCAAAACAGGGCTTTGAACGCATAACAATAGAAAGCTAGGATCGTAGAATGAACCAATAGATTGACCCGGATCCTAGTAATAGCCAATTGCTTAACAATATCTTGTAAACAGTGGGGTGTGTGGTACAAATATAAGCAGGGCTCCAACCCTGCAAGTTTGTCTTAGAGTTAAGCTGAAACCACTTAATAAACATGAGCTAATCACTCTACGCGTCTGAACCCAGTATATTTCAGTTGGAAATTAAGAGAACCTTATTCACACATTGATATTTAAGTGCTGATTTAAAAAGAAAATGAAAAAGCCTCCGTGGTACGGGGGAGGAGATGGCTGCTCCCAGAGACTGGGGGGTGGGGAAATGGTGGGGGAACCTGCCACAGGGAAGCCTCATTGGTGCTGTGCGGTATCATCGGCCACAGTACCTATGTGAAAACCTCAGAAGGCTGTCCCCATGTTGAAACCAATTTTGTTTCCTCTGCTACTTGCCTGAGAGGTTCCAGATGTGGCAGTTGTTCTCTGAGTTGGTGAAATTTTATACCAAGATTCTGACTTCTGTTTTCATGAATCTTTAATTTTTAATTGTTTTAAAAATACTTTCTCTTTTAAATACAGAGTTTTTGTACATTTAGGTTCAGGGTCAAACTGAATGAGACATGGGATTGGAACACTTTTCCTATGATGAAAGGCTAAAAAGAATGGGACTTTTCAGTTTGGAAAAACAGATGACAGAGGGGGGACATAATCAGTGTTCCCTCTAAGCTGAGTTAGTGTGAGCTAGCTCACAGTTTTTTAGCCTCCAGCTCAGAGATTTTTGTCTTCGCTCAGGAAGGATGGCTCCAGAGCAAACTAATTTATGCAGCAGCCAAATCGCTCGCTCACAGCTTTAATGCCTATAGCTCACAAAGTAGAATTTTTGCTCACAAGACTCCACAGCTTAGAGGGAGCATTGGACATGATAGAGGTCTATAGAATTATGCATAAGGCAGAGAGTGGAGAGAGAGAACTTTTTCTCCCTCTCCCCAACCTCTAGCATTCAAAGGCATCCGATGAAACTGAAAGGTAATAGATTCAGGGGAGAAAAAGGGAACTACTTGGTGTAGTTATGGTCTACCATCATAGATGGCTTTAAAAAGGGATTAGATAAATTCATGCAGGAAAGGTCTATCAGTGGCTACTAGCCATTTTGATTTAAATGAACCTCCATGATCAGAGGCAGTAAATATCTGAATACCAGTGCCAGGAGGCAACAGCAGGGGAAGGCCTTGGCTTCTATGCCATTTTTGGTCTTCTGGAATAAACTGGTAATGTGAAATGGGATGCTGGACTGGATAGACCACTGGTCTGAACCAGCGAGGCTTTTCTTATGTGATGTTTGATCACATCTTTCCAACATCTCTTAAAGCTGTGCGGGACTTTGGTTTGGAAACCAATCCCACTGTTATAGCTCTGAAAGAAAAAAGGAGGGCAAAAGATGGGTGCCCAATGTTTTTTTTGCCTTTAAATGACTAAAAACAGTGTGGGGTGCCAGTTATGATTAGGGAAGCTGTATGGAGACGGAAGGGTTAAACCCCCTCTCCCCTCTCTGTATGGCCACAGTTCACACCAGAGACCCATCAAGCCATGACCTCCATGGAAAAAAGGCGGGTTGTGGCAGTGGGCCGGGCCTGGCAGCTGCCTTTCGGTGGATGAACATGTCCCCCATGTCCTACAGAAAATAAACCATGAATAGCCCATCGAGATAACTTCCCCATTATCTACAACTTCAAGTATCCGTACCCAGCTATATATGGAGCTGAACCAAGGATATCAAGCTGCCTTTCCCTTGCATTACAGTCACTGACCCAGGACTGCTTCAGGAGAGCAGTTTAAGAGAAACATGGCAGATTATTTCATTTTTCTGCCAGGCATACCACATTTCCACTTGTGTATAACTACACTGTAGAAGATGCCCTGAGAGCTGGTGTACAAAACCTCTTCCACAACACCTCCTTGGAAGCAATCTGTCTTGCAAAGAGAAATCCTGAGTTATGTTAGCATATGAATGTGCTACTAGTGGTTGCCCTTTGCAAATATGCAGAGTTCACTGTTTAACCAACTTTATTTCCATGGGAATGTGTTGGCTGTTCCACCTTGCAGAGAAAAGTATGCTGAATATGCCCTTTGGCAATTATCCTCCCTTACCTCATGAGAAATGTATTTTTAAAAATATGTATCTGACCCATATAATTTGATGCTCTTTATGTAAGCATCCCGTTGTCAGTGGCCGCTCCCGGTTACAAAGAGAGATTCTCTCTACTGGCCTCAAATCAGCAATGGCACTTCTGTGCAGGAGGCTTTAAACTCCTTAACTTCTTATACAAAAATAGAAGGCTATGAGATGCATTGGTTCTGCAGACTTAGTTAATACCGTTCAAATTCAGCAGCCTGGATTGTATACTGATTTCAGAGTTTTGGGTCATCTTGACTTATGGTGACTTATATGGAGACACGAGGGGGGGGGGAAGGTGAGGGACATGAAACAGATCTATCCAGAAGCTACCTTTCACAAGTGAACATGTCACGCAATTGTCTATGAGGTTTATGAATTAAAACAGGCCACCACTCACCACTGTGAAAAGGAGCTATGTGCTGTGTGTCAACTCACACTTCTGCCAGCGATAAAGAAAATGGACACCGGAGAAGCTTCCAGAAGAACCTTTTCACCCTCTCTCAAGTCCATCTTTTACATTCCTATCCCTTCCTTCCATCCTTCTAGGAGCTCAGGAGAAGACATGAGTCTCCTCTCTCCATTTTTATCCTCACAAAGATCCTGTGAGGGAGATGAAATGGAGTGTGCGACTGTCCCAAGACAGTCTCCCAGTGAACTTTGTGGCCGAATCAGGATTTGAACCCACATCTCTCCAATCCTAGTCAAGCGCTCTCAAGTAGACTGGCTTTACACAACCAACCCTCCAAATGAATTAGAACGTTTAGTTTGATTTGGGGCTGGAGAAGACACTATTGGCCCAAGAGACTGCAGTACAACAAGGAAACATATGAGTGGTCACCCTGATTTGCATGCGGAAGAGAGAGAGTCAGCAAGTGTTGTGTGGTGGAGTTCAGAAGATTCTCCATGTCTGAAGGGAAAGAATACATGCCTGCTATCTGCATCCTAAGTGACAGTATAGTTTTCTTTGGAGACATACAATTGTTTGCCTCTGTTCTAGTGTCGGCTCCTACATATGAGTCAGCACAACAACTACAGACTTGGCCATTAGCGGTCACAGAAAAAACAGCAATGGACAAAACTGACT